TTGATATTTTCTGTGTAGAAACAAAAAAATCTCCATCAGAGTATAAATCATGACTGATCCCGGTTTTGTTTGGTTGTCTTCTCAGATGATTCCTGACTCAATCTTCGTCCCAATGAGGAGGATGAAAGCTCGCTGGTTATGAAACAATGCTTGAAGTTCCCCTTTATTCCACTCTTCCTATAAAACAAGACATATAACATACATAGAACGTGTTTCGGACAAGATAGGTGTTATTAATCAAGGTCGGGGTTTTTGTTCATGTGTCTTTACTGTTGCTGTGAAATACGATATAATTATCATAACACTGATCTTCATTGGATCCACCTGAGAAGGATCATGTTATTTCTGCAGAATTGGTGCTGATTCAATCCAATGATTCAGGCCAACTAATAATGAGAGTGGAACATAATCTTTGGTACAATAATAGAAGTGAAGTGTGCAATGAAGAAAAAATACCATAAAACTTTGATTATAAGCAGGGTCCCAATTCTACACGCCATTTTAAAAAGGAGTTTATACAGAATAAAGTATTTTTTTATATTACAGACTGTAAATTGCACAACTACAAATATGCCATATCTCACTATGATCGTACGGTATTTTCATGTGGCAAAACTGTTGTTTTTGATGGTTAAAAACTGGTGTGACTGTAAAACCAGCAGTACTAAAATCCTTTTGCTGTAATTATAGAAAAACTCTACTGTATTTATTTACAGTGTAGAGGCCTGTCCCGTATAAAGGCCTGTCCCATAATGAAGTCTGCCTCATATAAAGGCCTGTCCCAAATAAAGGCCAGGCTATTAGTTGAAGTTTTACGGTAATCGAAGTTTACAGGGTTTTATTTACAACATGCACTACTTCCTGGTACTGTGGGCTCTTTTATAAAATATATATCATTTCTTCTTTACTATGATGTTAACCCCCTACTTTAACTGTACACAGCCTAAATGCTACCTCATGAATGCAGAACGTTCTGTGTTTTGGTGACATGAAGTTAAAAGAAGTCTGTCAGGCTCAGCTGAAAGAAGCTTTGCAGCAAGAAGGTTTAGAGATCCAGTGGAAGGAAAATACGCCACATTAAAATGGTGATTATTAGTAGATTGAAGTTACTGGGAATGGAGATTGATTACACTGAGACGTGCTGTTGTA